CCATAGTGTAATCATACCTGAGTAGCAGCAAATCCAAAGTCACTTAAATACAAGAGTTCATGAAGGCAAATAATATAAAAATGTAGTAAATAGTCCTTAAAGTCCATAATTGGAAATAAGTGCATAAAGGCAAAACGTCCATAGCTGGCAGCTAAGAGTCCATAGAGTTCTCAGGTTCTCAGGCCCTCAGGATGCCACGACTGCCCCCCTTCCCCACCCAAACAAACTATGGGTACAGTCCAGCAGTATTACTACCTAATCTTGGAAGTTTCAGCAGAGAGTCCCTGGGGCACAGAAGAGTCCTTTTTTATTTTGGATTTCTAGAAATTTGGTGAAAAAATCTAGCCCATCAATTCCTCAAATCCAGAGAAACAGCACAGTGAACCCAGGTGGCTGCAGAACATAAGACAGCACAGCAGAAAAACTGTAACCCTTCTGTAGGCACGTGCCTACATGTTTATTTCTAATTTATTAGTCCCCTTTGACTGAGATTGTCAGGTGACTGAAAGGTAAGAGGAAATAATCCTTCTGTAAGTTATGATAATAATATTTAAGCATAGGATAGTGGATATTTACAGATCGTGTACTATTCAGAAAACAGAATCTAGGCAAATATTTTTTCAGGCTGTAAAACGATTCAGGTTATGCAAGTTTAATCCTTGGCAGGCTCATTATCTGATTTAACAGCAACGGAAACCATCCTTTTGATATTATAATTGCTTGATGCGTTGTGCATGTCATGGCAGTATCTGAGCAAGGGCAAGTGTACGCTAACAAAAGATTCACATAATATGACCGGTAAAGTTGGTGAGTGAAAATGGAAAATGAGAGCTTATGAAGATATATTAAGGTACTTATGATCACAGAGAACTTGTAGGAAGGTTGTCAACATCTCATTATTTTTTTTTTATAATACTCCAAAGGACTTCTATAGGGAATGTAAAAAAATAACTATATAAATAGGAATATACTGTATTATTGCAGAATTCTGCATCAAACAGAAAACAATAAGACATTCATTCCTGCAGATCCAGAGAGGGAAAGTAGGACGGGGGCAGAGATAAGGGGTGTGAAGGAATTTCACTTGTTTCTAACCACAACCTCATATCCTTAAAGAACTGGGGAGCTGGGTCACTTCCAGGCCACAGGAGAGCCACATATCCTCAGTCTTAATTATTGTTGTATTGGCTACATATTGATAAACCGTATCTCATTTATTTCTCACCTAATTTCTCTCTGTACTACCCTCTGAGTTGTTTTAAGTGCTTTGATTAATCATGCAGCCTTTGACTGTATTCTCCATTAGGATGACATTTATTAAATATTTATGTAGAATATTTTCTTCAGCACTGCTTGTCTGTTTGTATTTATGCTGAATGTTGTAACTTGTTTTTTCAGAAACTATAGTATTTTTTCCCACTGCAAAAGATAATTTTAAAGCTTTCTGGAGTTGGGGTTTAAGTCTTCAAAAAGGAAGTTTCAGGGGGGCGCTCGTGAGCAGTGACCCAAGATGGCCGCACATTAGTCGTGCTCCTCGCCTGCCAGACACATCGACCTATCCACTGGCTTCCAAGGGGGTACAGCACGCACCCACTATCCCCTCCCGGGTCACTTCCCAGATGGGGGAAAAAACAGGGGCCTCCCGCTCCTCCAGCGCTCAGCAGGCCACACCGGGGCCCATGGCCTACCGGCCGGTGGTCTCCCCTGCAGCTCCGGCCTCATGTTTCGCGGGAGACCTGGAACAGACACTGCGTCAGATGCTCCTCTGCTGCCCCCCTCTCTGGCCCTGATGCTGAACTCCTGGGCCGCGTCAAATCTATGTTGAAGACCGAACTATCCTCCGCTACTTACAGGCTGGCAGAGCGTCTTTCCAGGGAAATCAATGAGCTAGGAAACCACACGAATGACCTTAAGGATAAAATTGATGCCGCAGTCACAGTAATCGAAAATCATGAACAGGACCTGTACGATCTTAAGAAAGAATTGGCGGATACGTTGCTACGGCTTGAGGACTTTTAGAACCGTTCCCACCGTGGCAACCTACGCCTGCGGGGTATCCCAGAATCCGTCATGGATCTCACCTCCACCGCTACAGCTCTATTTCAGGAGCTGGTTTCCCATACACTGGCTCGAGTTGGACCGCATATAGGGCAGCACAGTGGCTAAATGGTTAGCACTTCCGCCTGGCAGTACTACGGTCGTTGGTTCAAATCCCAGCCACGGCACCACCTGCCTGGAGTTTGCATGTTCTCCCTGTGCCTGTGTGGGTTTCCTCCGAGTACTCCGGTTATCTCCCACACTCCAAAGACATGCTGGTAGGTTAATTGGATCCTGTCTAAATTGTCCCTAGTATGTGTATGAATGTATGTTTGTTGACGGCGCTATATAAGTACCTATAATAATAATAATACACTGGGCATTGGGATCAAAATGGCCGAAAGGACCCCTGAGAGACATTATCATCAAATTTACATACTTTCGCACTAAGGAAACTATCCTCATAGCGGCCAGGAATAAACCACAGTTCAGTTTCCAGTGGCATCGCTGCCAGCTTTTCTCTTATCTCTCCCAGATCACTCTTCAGAAACGCCCAGGTTCACCTCTGTCCTGGTGAATCGCCGAATCAAATATACGTGGGGCTTCCCCTTCCGTGTTACTTTCGACTACCAAGGCCAAAGCCACTCCATCATGTCAGGGCAGGAGAGGTGGAATGGGCAGGCAGACCTAATGGTAAGGTCACGCAGCGACTGACGACAGTCACTACTCACAGACCAGAGTCCCTCAGGGCGCGGAGTCTAAGCCCCAGGCTGCCCTTCACCAGGGCCCCGATGGTGGGGATGGACTTGACACAGCCTGAGACCAGGTCGCGGCCCCCGAGTAAACCCAGCTGCGGTAACGACTGCCGCCAATGGCGTACAGCTGGTGGGAGCCAGATGGAAAACGTATAGCGTGGTCGGACAGGCCGGGTCGATAACAACGGAGCAAACAGTACAAGACGGTAGACAAGAATACTCAGGTCACGGGCCGGGTTCAGCAACGGGAGGTCAGGTAATGGCATAAAGCAGAGAATAGTCTTGTCCAAGCCGAGTCGGTTACCAGGAGAGCAACAAGAACAGAACAAGAGCTTGCTGCAAAGGAACATACAGGACACGAATGCAAAGAGCAACTGCAGACAGCAGGCTTAAATATGATCAGCCACACCCTTCTGGAGGAGGAGCCGCAGAGGCCTGAAAGCATAAAGGCTCCCACCATGCTTTGCAGGAACTTAAGATGGATGCCAGCATATGGAGCAACACAATCTCTGGGGAAAGGTAGGACCTTGACAGTACCTCCTCCTCAAGGACCCCTCCCCCTCCGCAGCTCCACAAACGGCTTCTGAGGAAATCGGGCCTGAAAAGCACGGAGGAGGGCAGGAGCATGAACATCCGAGGAAGGAACCCAGGAACACTCCTCGGGGCCATAACCACGCCAATGGACCATGAACTGCACCCGAACCCAGATAGGACGAGGCCGAGGCGGAGAGGCAGTAAAGCAATTACAGACCAGAGGCTTCAACAGGGATACATGGAAGACATTGGAGATACGCATCCCAGGAGGAAGAGCAAGGGCATAGGCAACCGGGTTCACCCTGCGGAGGATGCGGAAAGGACCAACAAAACAGGGAGCCAGTTTCGGTGTGGGCACCCGAAGATTGAGGTTGCAAGTGGACAACCACACCCAATCTCCGACCTGGTATAAAGGAGCGGGCAAACGTCTGTGATCAGCCTGGGCTTCTGGCGCTGTGCTGAGTCCTTCAAGGACCTCTGGATCTGCCCCCACGAGGAACGCAGGGCAGCCAGATGGTTATCCACAACCGGAATGTCCTGTGGCGAGAACAACTCAGGCAATACAGCGCGTTGGAACCCATAGTTGGCCATGAAGGGGGACATCCCGGAGGAGGAGTTGACAGCCGAGTTCCTCGAAAACTCTTCCCATGGCAGGAGATCGACCCAATTGTCTTGATGGTCAGATATATAGCAGCGAAGAAATTGTTCCAGGGCCTGATTGGAACGCTCCCCATTGGACTGCGGGTGGTAGGCCGAAGAGAAGGAGAGTGTCAGGAATGGACTTGCCAATAATGGTGGGACTCACCTGCCTTGTGAGCTGCAGTACCAGGGCTGGCCAGCGGGTGCTCTCAGCAATCAGAGACTCACCCCTGCAGTCAGCCAAACACCTGAAGCTGATTGCAGGGGTTGTATTTAAGGAATGGCCAGACTCACAGTCAGGGCCTTGGTGCGTGTTTTTCCATGGGCCCCTGTATCTTGTATCCTGTGTTCCTGTTCCTGTTTCTGCCTGACTTGTTGCCGACCCTGCCTGATCCTGACCTCTGCTGACTTCTCCTGTTTGATCCCTGTCTTGTGACCCTGACCATTCTCTGCCTGACCCTCTGCACCGCGCTGCCCGTGAGTTACTGAACCCAGCTTGTGACCCCGACCACTCTCCCGCCTGTTCCTGGTACTCCGTTTGCCCATTTGCTACTGACCCGGCCTGCCTGACGACTCTTGCATTGTATGTGTCAGGGATCACGGCGTCCTGTCGGCCGGCGCACGCGCACTGGCGATGGCTCACGCCGGGACACAAGCACCAGGTCCCGGCGAGCCGCAGATGACGGGACGCCGCGCATGCGCAGTAGGAGCCGCAGGCGCGCCTCGGGCGGCCAATGACAGCCCGGGGGCGCGTCCTGGACGGCCAATGACACTGCAGGGCGCAATATTTAACTAGTTGCCGACCGCAGATAGCCGAATGACGGCTGCACTGCGGCCGGCCAGTTCTGGGTGGACGTCATATGACGTCCCCCCAGAACGCGCTCTCCTGCGCTCCCCAGGGGGCGCGCACCCGGCGATCTCTGTGATCGCTGTGTCCTATGGACACAGCTGATCACGAGATGTGGTAAAAGGCCAATCATACCGGCCTTTTACCACGTGATCAGCGGTGTCCAATGACACGCTGATCACAGGGAAATGAAAGTGCCGGTTCTCGGCTGCACTTTCCTCACGCTGTCAGATCGTGAGGAAAGTACTGCCGAGAACCGGCAGTTGTCAGAGCGAGGATCGGCACCGATCATCGGGGGCACTGATGATCAGTGCCCTGATGATCTGTGCCCAGCAGTGCCACCCACAAGTTCCGTCCACCTGTGCCCAGCAGTGCGCCCACTAGCTCCGCCCACCTGTGCCCAGCAGATCACCCACCTGTGCCCAGCAGTGCACCCACCTGTGCCCAGCAGTGCACCCACCTGTGCCACTCTGCAGTGTCACACACCTGTGCCCAGAAGTGCCACCTACCTGTGCCCAGAAGTGCCACCCACCTGTGCCCACCCACCTGTGCCCACCAGTGCCACCCACCTGTGCCCACCAGTGCCACCCACCTGTGCCCACCCACCAGTGTGCCACCCACCAGTGCAGCCCAGCAGTGCTGCCAGTCAGTGCCACCAGTCAGTGCCCAGCGGTTGTGCCAGTAAGTGCCGCCAGTCAGTGCCCAGCAGTGATGCCAGTCAGTGCCGTCTATCAGTACCCATCATCAGTGTCACCTATCAGTGCCGCCTATCAGTGCTGCATATTAGTGCCGCCTATCCGTGACACCTCATTAGTGCTGCCTATCAGTGCCGCCTATCCGTGCCACCTCATTAGTACTGCCTATCAGTGCCCTTTAGTGCTGCCTATCAGTGCCCATCAGTGCCGCCTATCAGTGCCCATCAGTGCTGCCTCATCAACGCACATCAGTGAAGGAGAAAAATTACCTGTTTGAAAAATTTTATAATAGAAACAAAGAAACTTTTTTTTTTTTTTTTTCAAATTTTTTGCACTTTTTTAATTTATAGCGCAAAAAGTAAAGTGCCCAGTGGCGATTAAATACCACCAAAAGAAAGCTCCATTTGTGAGAAAAAAATGATCAAAATTTCATATGGGTACAATGTTGCATGACCGCGCAATTGTCAATCAAAGTGTGGCAGCGCTGAAAGCTGAAAATTGGCCTGGTAAATAAGGGGGTATAAGTGCCTGGTAGGCAGGTGGTTAAAGATGCCCTGCACTGTCACTAATCGCCGCAAGGTCTATCTGTGATCCTGAGTTCCTGTACCTGCATTTGACCCTGATTGACCCTTACTACGCTGCCTTCTCCTGTGCTTTGACCCGGATTGTCCTGACTACGCTGCCTTCTCCTGCATTTGACTTGGATTGCCCTGACTACTCTGCCTTCTCCACTCCTGATCCTCGGCTTGTCTGACCTATCTGCGGACTGACTTATCCTGCTGACCCTGCGTGTGACCTGACTACTCTTTGCTTGCCGATTCTGTACCTCGCTTACCCCACGGGACCGCTGCTCGTGACCCATTCTGCTAGGTCCCGCCGTCCTCCTCACATCTGGCTCTCCCGGTACCTATACCTCCCCGGAGGTTGCCTCTGCCACTGGTAGGCCTGCTCGGAGGTCGTGACCTGGCCCTGGTCTGTTACAAGTCCATCCCCACCATCAGGGGCCCTGGTGAAAGCACAGACCGGGACTTAGATTCCACGCTTTGGGTAGGTCTGTCCAGTGGACTGCCAGAGGCACCACCTGGCGGATCATAACAGTATGTATTGTTATCTGTAGGTGGTTTGGTTTGGTTTGTTTGCACTGTGTTTATGTTTAGTTTTGCACTGCGTTTTGTATTGTTAGTCTTAATAAATCATATTGTTTATACCATATCTGAAGCCTGCGTTTCCCTGTGTCAGTCCACACACATCTGGTCATACCCGGAGGCCTGACATTAAGCTTGATACCCAACTGGGAGCAGAAGGCGCGCCAGAACCTGGACACAAACTGGCTCCCACAGTCCGAAACAATCACCTTGGGCAACCCATGCAAAAGATCTCCCTGGCGAAAACCGTAGCCAGTTCTCGCGCAGTCGGCAATTTCTTGAACGGAACACAATGGCACATCTTGGAAAAACGATCAATCTCCATAAGAATGACCGTATGGCCTTGAGACGCCGGGAGGTCCACAATAAAATCCATGCCTAGGTGTGACCAGGGACGCTCCCCATTGGGAATGGGTTGCAGAAGACCCAATGGAAGATGCCGAAGAGATTTATTCTGGGCACAGACCGAACATGCCGCTACATACGAGGCGATGTCGGAATGGAGAGATGGCCACCAGAATGACGACCCAGGACAACTGGTTCCTACCTGGATGGCCGGCAGCCTTGGAATTATGGTAGGCACGTAGCAAGCGGGTGCGCAATCCCTCAGGTACGAAACATCTTCCAGCCGGTCTCTCAGGAGGAGCATCAGTTTGAGCCGCCAAAATCTGCTCCTCAAGGGTCAGATCTGAGAGAGGCTTGGCCAGCGTGGAGAAGTTCCTGATAAACATCCGATAATAGTTGGCGAGTCCTAAAAAGCGCTGAATGGACCGAAGACCACTGGGACGAGGCCACTGCAGAACCACCGAAACCTTCTCAGGGTCCATGGAAAAACCCACCGCAGAAATGATGTAGCCCAAAAAGGCAACCTGGGATCAGTGAAATTCACACTTCTCGAGCTTACAGAAAAGCTTGTTCTCACGCAACCGTTGCAGCACCCGCTTAACATCCTGGATATGAGACTTCATAGACGCAGAGTAAACCAGGATGTCGTCCAAGTAAACCACCACATGCACTGCTGCAACAAGTCACGAAAGACATCATTAATGAACTGCTGAAAGACCACGGGCGCATTACACAACCCGAAGGGCATAACCAGGTATTCATAGTGACCAGTTCTGGTGTTGAACGCGGTCTTCCACTCATCACCCTCCTTGATCCGTACGAGGTTGTACGCCGCCCCAAGATCAAGCTTAGTAAAGACCGTTGCTCCCTTGAGGCAGTCAAACAACTCAGTAATCAACGGAATTGGATAAGCATTCTTAATCGTGATTCGATTGAGGCCCCTAAAATCAATGCAAGGTCTCAACTCTCCGCCCTTCTTTTTCATGACAAAAAACCCCGCTCCTGCTGGAGAAGTAGACTTGCGAATGTGCTCCTGGGAAAGCGCATCCACAACGTACTCCTCCATGGCCTGATTCTCTGCAACCGAAAGAGGATACGCCCTGCCATGGAGGAGTGGCACCGGGTTGTAAGGCTATGGCACAATCGTACGGACGATGAGGAGGCAGAGCACCGGCGCGCACCTTGTCAAACACGTCCAGGTACTCCCCATATTAAGTGGGCAACACAAAATCTGAGGAGGCGCACAACATTTTAACAGGTCCACGGATACAACCAGCCCCACACTGTGGCGACCATGAGAGAATCTCGGCCGACCGCCAATCAAAGGTCGGATTGTGCTTCTGAAGCCAGGGATAGCTCAAAACCACGGAGTAGTGCGGGGAAGAAAATACCTGGAAACAGGCCATCTCCCTGTGAACAGCCCCAACAGCTACTTCAACCGGCAGGGTCTCATGGGTAACCTCCGACGGTTGCAGGGGCCTGCCATCTATCGCCTCGAGGACCAATGGAGTAACTCGAGCCTGCAGAGGAATGGAGTACTGGGCAGCAAACGCACTGTCCATAAACAACCCGCCAGCACCAGAGTCTACCAACGACTGGGCCGTCACCGAGCCTCCCGCCCAGGAGAGGACAACGGTGATTAGTGGTTTATCTTTACGGGAAATCGGGGATGAGGAAACTCCACCCAAGATCTGCCCCCGACAGGATCTTAGGTGCGAGCGTTTCCTGGACGGCCCGGACAGGACTGCCGAAAATGCCCACCGAGACCACAGTACAGGCAGCAACCCTCCCGACGCCGAGAGACCCTCTCCCCCTCGGAAAGGTGAGCAAATCCCAGCTGCATGGGCTCACTACCAGACAAGCCATCCCCAGGAGGCATGGGAGGAGAGGGAGGCACGGGTGGGACAGAAAACGTAGGCACCAATCGGTTAGGAGGCCTCCGCAGATGCTCCTTAAATGAAGGCCCCTCTCTGAGCCTGGTGTCAATCAAGATTAGGAAGGAAATGAGTGCCTCTAGCTCCACAGGCAGTTCTTTGGCTGCGATCTCATCCTTCAACGCATCTGAGAGACCATGAGAGAAAGCAGGCACCAGAGCCTCATTGTTTCAACCCACCTCTGCCGCCAGGGTACGAAATTCTATGGCGTATTTGACAACGGTTCGTGAACCCTGATGCATGGACATGAGCAGCTTGGCAGCAGAGGCGGAGCGAGCAGGCACTTCAAATACCGTGCGGAAGGAGGCAACGAAACGGGCAAACTCGTGGATCACCGGGTCATTCCTCTCCCATAAAGGATTAGCCCAGGCCAAGGCCTTATCTGAGAGTAGCGAGATTAGGAAACCCAGCTTTGACCTCTCTGTAGGGAAAGTGTGGGGTATTAACTTAAAGTAAATGCCCACTTGGTTAAGGAAACCACGACACTGACTCGGCTCACCACCAAAGCACTGGGGAAGAGGGGCAGAACCAGTCATACCTCTGGGCACTGTGGGTTCAGCAACAGATGCGGAGGTGGGTGCAACCACCGGAGCAGCAGTCGGAGCGTCCACTGGAGTAACCACCGACCTAATAGCCCCAGGAGTAAGGTGCACTGGGCGTGCCAGCAGAGCCTGCAACGCCTGAGCGAACTGATCCAGCAAGAGATCCTGTTGATCAAGTCTGGCGAGTAACATAGGGAGCGAAGACGTACCTGCACCGTCAGGATTCATGGCATTCGTGTAATGTCAGGGCAGGAGCGGTGGAATGGGCAGGCAGGCCTAATGGTAAGGTCACGCAGCGACTGACGACAGTCACTACTCACAGACCAGAGTCCCTCAGGGCGCAGAGTCTAAGCCCCAGGCTGCCCTTCACCAGGGCCCCTGATGGTGGGGATGGACTTGACGCAGCCTGAGACCAGGTCGCGGCCCCCAAGTAACCCCAGCTGCAGTAACGACTGCCGCCAATGGCGTACAGCTGGTGGGAGCCAGATGAAAAATGTATAGCGTGGTCAGACAGGCTGGGTCCATAACAACGGAGCAAACATTACAAGACGGTAATAAATATACAGAAATCCCCCTGCGCTCCACAGAACCTAGTGAGTTAGCTGCTATCACCTAATTCTCTATACCGCAAGATATGTAAAACAAAAATAATATAAGTGGTGAAGCGCTCAACTTAAATAATCAAAAACTAGTGCAATATCCCCATATATAAATATTACATCCCTAGTGGTATAATGATACCCAAATGATAACTCTTAAGCTATGCAGATATACAAATAATAATAATATAAATAATAATGAATGAAAAACTAGTGCAATATCTTCATATATACATAATATATCCCTGGTGATATAGTGATAAACAACTAATATCTCTTAGACTGTGCAAAAGTGATACTAAAATACAATTAATACCAATTTACATGAAATATTAATTACAATAAATTAAATAGTGATGCCACACTGTGCAAAATTATAGAAAAGTGTTCAAATAATGTCACTCCATGCTACAATAGTGCTCTTCGTGAAAATCTTGACGTGACTCCCCTTAATAGCAGAAATGCC